CGGCATGTGGCGATGTCTGTATCCCAGCTACTCGGAGCTGAGGCAAGGAGATCGTTGAGCCAGGAGTCTGAGGTTGCTGGAATGGGGGCGGGGGGCTCGGGTGCACAAATATTCACTGGAGCCACTCTGTGCAAGGTCTTTGTTGATCACCAGGACCCAGAGAATACATCAGATGCCAGCCTCAAGTACCCCCAGTCTGCACTGGTGTGTAACCAGCTAACAGCGCACCAGACAAAGATGCCGCAGAGGAGCACAGGAGGAAGACTTGCTTCTCCTGTTACTCCAGGTTTGAGAATAGTGAGGAAACGTCATTAACCTCATATTATTACAGACAAGCACAACAGAAAGCCACATGACATGAGCTGGAAGGCCCTTAAGGGAATCTGATTAGGGATGGCAACACAGGAGGCCATAGCAATGTCTGCTGTCCCATCCACGGGCCATGGCGATCATCACCTTATAAATGGGCATCTTTCCCAGGAAGCCGGGCACTTTGGAATCAACGTCAGGACTCTGTTCCAGGAGCCAGTCAGTGCGGCTGGATTGGCGTATTGTGTTCAAGTCATATCCTAGATGGGGAATGGAGATGGCTGAGAGGCTCAAGAGCGACTGATTGTCATCATTGTTTAGTGTCCGGCTCCCTGTCTTAACCACAGAGGAACTGACCACAGAGGTCACGTGGAGTTGGTACCGTGTGCAGGCGTCTCGGGGTGCCTCCCTGCACCATGACGGGTGAACTCTCATTGTGTGCCGATGGAAGAAGCATTTAGAGGGTGATCTTCAGCTTGAAGTAACGCAGAGGCTGACGCCGCCGACAGCTGTGCCATCTAGGTGGCCCTGTGGTATAGTGGTGACACCCTATAGATCTGCCAAAAATGGATAAGGAAACCGGCACTTAACACCAAAAAATAGAAAATAGAGGCAGCAGAATACGCCAGCCCGACAGCAATACGGGCAATATGGCCTGTAGTCCAGCACTCGCGGGAGGTAAACGCAGAGCCGGAGGCTGCTGGAGCTGGTGGGTTGGGCATTGAAGATAGCTTACATCGATGAGGGCTTGCACTTAAAGCACCCGGGAAAGTGTCAGCAAAGGCTGGATATTTATGTAAGATCCAGGATTGGCAGGAATAGCGCGCGCGCGCCTAGGGAAGGAAGCCGTGAAAGGGCCGGCGGAAGGCCCCGCCTGGCCTTGGATGCCCAGGAGGACCCCCCTG